AGGAGCTGTTCCAGCACGCGCGCAAGAGGGTCGTCGCCACCTACCAGGTGCGCGCAGCCCCCACCGCGCCCCTCCCCCTCCCCCTCGGGCCCCCTTTCCAGGGAGACCCTCCTGCCAGAGGGCGCCCGCCTGGGGGAGTCCCCTGACCAGGGTCCGGAGAATGTAGCTCCTTCAACAAACGCCACCAAAGGTCCTTTTCAAAGTGACCCAGAGTCACTTGGGGAACAGGCCTCTCCACCTTGCCTTTCCCAGCGCTGCTCGGGCCAGGCACTTATCTCCTACCTAAGGGGATCTCTCCCAGCAGCCTCTTGATTGTCTCTCCCCGCTGCTCCACCCTGCTCCTCTCTCCCTTTTCCACCCCGCAGAACATTGCTCTGTACGAGTGGCTGCCCAGCTTCCTGCAGCTAACGCCTTCAGAGTATAAAGGTGAGAGCCTTGGGGGGCTCGGGCTAGTTGTGGGGCAGAAACAAGCTCCCATGACCCAGCGCGTGCCCGTAATGGAAAGGTGTGGGAGCCTATTTCTTTGACGATGACCCCTCTCCCCAGGGTACCGCCCTTTCCAGGACCCCAGCATCTCCCCCGAGTTCCTGGCGGCCTCGGAGCAGTTTTTCTCCACCATGGTGCCCCCGGGAGTCTATATGAGGTGAGGAAGGGGCTGGTGGTGGGAGACAGCTCGCTGGCAGTGATCAGATACCCCTGGGGGGCCTCGAGTCTTTCACACGTCTCCAGTTTGAGAGGAAATTCAGAACTGTGTTCAGGATCCTGAAATAGGGCCCTGGGTTGGGGGCTAGGTTGTGGGTTCCATTGAGGCTAACCCTACCAGTGGGAGAAAGAGGAGGCTTTCTCCTCCTGAGTAAAGAGTTACAGTCTGGGAACCCACAGGGGCAGTTCCACCCTGTCCTACAGGGTCCTTAGGAGCCGGCATCCACTTGACAGCCCTGAGTTATGTCTGGTTTCTCCTAATGGTTGAACTTCGGCTGCTGAGAGCAGCGTTTCTGCAGCAGTGGGGTCACCTTCTCCACACCCTTCTACCCCACTGGGTGCGGACAGCAAGCTCCCTCCATCTTTGATCACACGTGCATTGCCAAACCCCTGCTGTGTCCCAAGTAGTTAAGCCTCAGTCCTGACCATCCCTTGGGCGTCTCTCACCCCACTCAGTCCCACTCTTGCCTGAGTCCCTTCACCGCCCCCTCGGTGTCTCCATTTCAGAAATGCCAGTTGTCACTTCCAGAAAGTCTGGAGCAAGGATTTTGACAACTCCACGGCTCTCAGGGTTTGCAACAGCTACTGGATTCGAGAGGTCAGCCTGGGGACAGGGACAGGGGCGGGAAGATGGGCCAAGGGCCTTGTCTACACAGGCTGGGGAAAGCAGTAACTGGTTGAGTGCTGGTGGGAGAGGAAAGGGAGGGAGTGAGCAGGAGAGAATGGGTTAGAGACCAGGACTGGCCAAGGGTCCTTCGTGTGGAGGTCACAGCAGTCGGGTGAGAGCCTGGGTGCTGAGAAGGCAGAGGGGCTGCGTTTTCTGGAGGGTCTCTAGCTAGGGCTTACCTGGAGGGTGGGTTTACTTCCAGAATCCCAACCTGGGCAGTGCCGAGGCGGTGAATCACCTGCTGCTGGGGATGGCCTCTCAGATCTCGGAGCTGGAGGACAGGATAGTGGTTGAAGACCTGAGGGGTGAGTACTGAGTCCCAAGGATTGGGGCCTGGAGACCCTTCTCAGTCCATCACCCGCAA